CGTAAAATACAAAAAAAAAGTTGCTCCAAAATGACACACCCTAGTATATATGCTTGTTCAACTTGCCGATAGTGTATAATCGCAGTAATCATTCAATCACAAAATTCATAAACTTGTTATATATTTTCATAATAATATATAACAAAATCTATTGTATTCTTAGGTTTCTTCTACCCCTACTTCATATATAATTATTTAAAATTTGATTGATCAGTTCTCGTGTTACACACATTTGAAATTTCGGAGAATTTGTACATATATAGAAGCTTTATAAAACTGGATCTAATCAATCAAATTTTAAATAATTATATATGAAATAGGGGTAGAAAAGACTGAAGAATATAATAGAATTAGAAAAATACGAATGTTTGCCTGAGATATGAGCAGAAGATGCGCTCGAGTTGCCCTATGGGTGTTGACGACGTAAACAAGTTTCTCGCTTGGTTTAGAGTAACTTTACGAGTTGTAGGTATAAAAGCATATTAATATATATAAAAATAAATAAGTTTTTATGCTTTATTCGTATTATTAGGCCGGTCCCGGCGGTACTGCAATACCGGGTCGACCCGTGGAGTGGTCGGAGCAAGCTCCGAGACCTCTCCTAGGTTCAAAAATCAGTTTAATATTCTGAGTCCTCTATGAGGACTGTATCAGATATTAAGCTGATAAGAACAGATACTACACTTTGATCTTAGCTCAGAGAGCCGAGAAGCGATAGCAATGCTTGCATTTTGCAGCCTTTATATACACTTCCATGTAGAAACTTAAACGCGAGAAAAGCACGCAGCGTAGCGGCGAACGCCGCAACTACCGAGCGCGATCAATACCGTCTGTCTCCCTTCCATCGTCCCCAATCCCCTCTACATTCCAACAGAAACACGTGGCGACTGTGGCGTAGCATTCTTTATACATGTGATTATTGTTATTTATATTCTGGAGTCCAAAAGGTCCAAAAAACCAGTTTTTTGCAAATTACCGATGTTTAAAAAAATTCTATCTCTGCTCCATTTGGTCGTACAGACTTGAATAAAAAACGAAATTGTGCAGAATTTTGTAAGCTACAATTTTTATGTCTACATAAATTTCCGCAAAGTTGATATTTTCCGAGATATTTGCGAAAAACTGTTTTTTTTGGACCTTTTGGACTCCCCTGCCCGCAACGTAACGTCTACAAGAACTCTTATATACTAAAATTCAGCAAGATATATTCAGAAAAATTTGTACAACAAAAGGATAAGTCAGTCACCAGCGTGGCATAAAAATGCAGCTGATACATTCGACGTGTAATCAGTTTTGTGTGATAAGAAGCGGGACCACATGTACGAACAGTAACATGAAAAGTGTCATGTGCATATGACACGCGAATTAACTGCTCGGACTTGTTCTCCCCCTCCCCATTTCCTTTCTTCCTTTCTCACTCTCTCTATCATATCGAGATAAGGATGTCATTGACGCCGCATTCCGATCTGAAGAAGTCCAATAAACTGTATCACTTTACTAGGGGAGCATGAAGACGACGGGTGTGGTCCAGCTGACACCCGGGAATGGAATAGAGGCGTGGAGCCAAATCTTTAGAAGTCAGAGACCCAGTGAGATAAGTGACCTACAGCAAAATTAGCGACCTCGATATAAAATAAGTCGGTACCGGCTATTAGCACAATTTCCTTTATTCCTCGATGAGATCAATATCTTGTAAGGTTTTAGAGAATAACGAAATACATTTTTGGCAAAGAACGTTATAAATTAAAACTGCTTATGTAAAAAATAAAGTCATAATTTTTTAACAAAAAACAAAGCGTTGAAGCGTTCTGACATTATTATAAACTTCAGTTTGTCGTATTTAAATTTCGAAAATAAAACTGTGGGTTTTCAGATAATTATAGCTCTTTCGCGACATAATCTAAATTGATAAGTAAACTGACAGGGAAGTATGATGCGCGGAAAGTTGCCGAATCCGAAAGTGAGTTGGGCCACTTGGGCCGTTATGCTTAGACAAGTGGCACATTCGGCGAAAGTGGAATCAGGAGACGAGAATGCTCGATATACGCATATTTATACTCGCACATTTATACTACGGGGAAATTCGTTATTTTTATAGACGCATGTCTCAAATGTTCTCAATTTATTCGTTTCCAAACGATTTCAGAAAATCATTAATTTATACTATAATGTTACATTATTAATTAATGTATAAAATTTTTTTAACTATAGCTTATTTACGTGTAAAATTTTATACATAATACAATTAATTACAGCTTCTATCATTATTAATATTAATGAATGTTTCAATAAAAAAAACTTCCATTGTTCCTTGGGAGTATGTGCAAAATAACAAATCTGATAAGAAATAAAATAAACGTGTGTTAAAAAACTTTTATCGATGGACATTATCCCTTCGTCCGCATACGTTTTTTTGGCACCTTTACGCCGCATAGGTGGGTCGTTTTCGTCTTGACGTTTTTTTTTAAGTGTTAAAGTGTTACAAAAAATCTGAAAAAATTCATGGAGGTAATTCAAACCTTCAATTTGAAGTATCAATCATAAAATTATAAGCAATTTAATTTTTTCACATATTTTTTATTTAAGAAATGGAGCAACTACAACTACAACTTGTAAAATCATCTTTTACTCAAAAAATCATAACTTTAAGACAAATAAAGATATCGAAATGAATAAAAAAAGAAATTGAAGGGGAAAAACGTACCTTTCATAAAAAAAATATTGCATGCAATTATTTTGAAATAAAGTGCTTAAGTGTTCGCCGCCAACCTCGTTTTTTCAAGAATTACGTGTCTCCTGTGACGGCTGGAGGGGATCTGGCGCTTTGAAACTCGGTAGGCGGGTTCTCGGGGAGCATAACTTTTTTTACGGATGCGCAGTGGCGCCATTTCTACGCGTTTGCAAAAGTTACAACTACATTTGATTTTCGCCCGGACGAAAACGACCCACCTATGCGGACGAAGGGTTATATTTAATATGGGAGTGAGGAGGGGGGTCAAAGTTGGAATTAATTCCCGCGGAAATTGATGGGCCCGAATTTAAGACGGAGTCTCACGGACGCGCTTTGGGAACCGTCGGTTTTACGGTGAGAACGGCGAAGCGCTGGGTATGGGAAACATCGATGATTCCCAGGCGGTGGTAGCAGGCATTTCGTATACGAACGTGAACAGCGAATGTAAACGCGCCGCGCACGTGCACGTACATTTCATTCGTACACCGGCCGGTCTTGTCGCTTGTCCGGCTGCGGCGCGAGACAAATGTGCACGCTCGGGAACCTCAGGCACGATTCGGATCGTGGGACGTGTTTGCGTCTTCATTTTCAATCGACAATGCAATTCGATCGCATTCGATTCCGTAATTACCGGAGGGGGCACTTAAGAAGCGGCAAATATTTGAGGATAAGGATCGGAAATGCAGATCGCGCAGCTTGCGCAAATCAACCTGCGTCTCGTCAGGCTGGTGGGTAAAGGTCTCGGCGGCATTAATCAGACGGAAGATTCCACTCGATCGTCTTCGACCGGTAGCGCGTTATCACTGCATCAGAATTAATTACTGCCGACTGCCGAGCCATTAATCTTCACATCTTCATTCACGTGCCAGCTGACGATGATTAATGAGCTTAAGAAAACGAGTTTCATATGTTTGCGTGTTAAACCAGCTTGGTGCTAATTAGCAGTTAATTATAGATTTTAGAATTTTCCAAAATTATTGCAGTTTTGAAGTATGTATTTATCCGGTAATTCTTTCGCGCGGAAGACACGCAGTCGAGAAAAAGTTTATGATAAATTAGATAACAAAAGTGTTTATAATCTTCGCGCTTGCTAATGTACAATTTACAAACACGTTCCATTTAAATATATGTATTTTACAATTAACTAAATTTCAATTTAAAATTTATTGCGAGAATAAAAAAAACGAGTGCATCTTTTGTTATCTCTTTATTTTGAACTTTTCTTTATAGAAAATAAGAATCGCGAATCTTCGGGTTTCTCTTGTGTAAAACCTTTCTTGCTACTTTGGTGTCTCCGTCTCCAACCAACAAGAGCAATACGCGAAGAGGCGCCCGCGCCGCGGGAATCGGCGCGCTCGACCGGTCGCTGAATCCCGTCTGGTAGGTTTAGAACGACCTTCAGATTCCAAGGCTGTTCCTAGCGTACGAGCGCAGCTTAGGTCGACTACCATCTCGCTATGCTTGCCTGGTTCTTCTAAGCATGTAACTTAGAACGACTAACCTGTCTGATGAAGCGCGGATATTACCGCTGAATCTATTGTTGTTGGTAACGTGTTATAGTATATGGACGTCGAGGAAGATACAATTTTTTAACAAAGATTTATAAAATGCGTTATATTTTCATGCATTGTAAACTAGCGATATCAAAATCTTATGAAACTATTGATATCGTGTCTATGAGAAGAAATATAATGGTTCAGACTGTATCGAATTTTAAAGAAAAGTATCCGCGAAATAATGCATACAGTATTTTTCTTTAAATTTCATCGATTTTTAATAGTAATCGTAACGGCACTTTTAGTAAGTAATATTAAAATAAATTATTCGTGATAAATTGACAAATTGGACGATTTACATCAATTAATTAGTCGTCTTATTTTATTAAATTAGTAATTTTCAAACCAATATTACTCAAAAATGTGAACTAAAATAAAT